ATGGATTTATACGTAATTAGATCAGTGTTATATATTCAATTTGTATACGTAATTTTAGAATTGAAGTTTGATGTAAGCTGGTCACCAAACATTAATGTGAGCCTTTTTCTTGCTAATACGGCAACGAAAAAATAGACAAATTGGCGCACAATTAGAGTTAAATTTTCTCCAAGCCTGATTGCGACTCAAGTATGAAGATTAGACTGTGTCTCTATAATATGACTCGGACAACGATTATTTCAATAAAGGTGATGTTAACCAGCATTAGCTAGGAAATTGTATTTTTTTTTTTTAATAAATATGCATATTTTAATTAAAATATCATACTTTAATAAATGATTTAAATTAAAAGCATTACATCTATACCTTCACATTTTGGTCAAATATTAAAAAAAAATATGATGGATCGACTAACGATTATGTCACTCCATATCAAAATTTGTGTTATCATTTTTGTGACTTAGAGGTGCAACTTCATGGTTTTTAGATAATAATTTTAAAAAAAAATTTATTAATTAATTGGTCATCGTTCCTTAAAACTATAAAAAAATACATTATTCAATATAATGATTCATATCTGATTAAATTGTTTATAATATTTATTTCTATTGATGATCAAATTTATAAAATGTGATACAATTATTTAACATATAATTTTAATATTTATACATACTCATAGTTTATAATAATTTCATTATATTTGTGCATATACACATCATCGAATACTAGTTAAAGATTACACAGGGGACATGTTGAAATTAATCTAATAAAGTGTGTGATTTTGAATAAAAAGCACTCAAAAAGCACTTTGTAATCAATATTTAGCTAGGAGCGTGTAAGGCCATTAATAATTTTTTAGAACAATAATACTATCTTAATAATAACCCAGAGAAATTAATATACGTCTTTTTTGACAGCTCATTAACTTGACCATCTCATATAGAAGCTTTGGTCCCTGTTTGTATGAATACTTCAATAATTTTTTATCAAAAACTAATCTGACATCATGTATAGAGTAATCAGTGATTTATTTTTATTTATTATTATTTTTTATTTTATTGAACTTATGGAAAGAGTCGTCACAACTAGAACTCTTAAAAAGGACGGTCACTCTTTGTTTTACAAGTTAAGTTCGAGCTCGTTTGATAACTAAGACAAATAAACAATCGTAGGCTTGTTCAAGGCTCAAGAAGAGAGATTTTAAAGTAATATTTTTGAATATTTATTTTGATTTGACTAGTTAAAGCTCGAGTTTAAGTTGTTAATATTTAATTAAAGACCTAGTTTGACTCCTTTGATATATAAACGAGTAAATTTGAGTTTGTTTAGGCTTAGCAATATAAAAAACTATAAATTTTTATGTAACTTTATAAAATTTTACTTTCACTCGATTTGTTAATATTAATTAACTATTTGACTCGATAAATGCTTGAGTACAAATTCTGTTATTAAAAAATTTGAGTTCGGCTCGTTTAAATATCAGATCACATGTTCATAGTCTTTTCTTAATTTCAATTTCTATAATAATTAAAAAAAAAAATGTTCTTGATTT